GAGCCAAGATCATGCCATTGCACTCTAGCCTGGGTGACAGAGCAAGACTTCATCTCAAAAAAAAAAAAAAAAAAAAAAAAAAGAATTTGTATAGTTCTGTCACCAGAAAAGGGATCTTGTCCCAGACACCAAAAATGAGTTTGTAGATCTCACACGAGAAATAATTTATGGTGAGTCACAGAGACTAGTGACGTTAAGAGAGTTTATTAGTAACTACTCAGTTACAGAACAGGGTGCCCTCAGAAAGCAAGAGGAGGAACACACTTGAATAAAAAAAACTTTTTTGAGACGGAGTTTTATTTTTGTCACAATGGCATGATCTCAGTTCACTGCAAACTCTGCTTCCTGGGTTCAAGGATTCTCCTGCCTCAACCTCCCAAGTAGCTGGGATTACAGGTATGCACCACCACACCTGAGTAACTTTTTGTATTTTTGGTAGAGACCTTGTTTCAGCATGTTGGCCAGGCTTATCTCCAGCTCCTGGCCCCAAGTGATCCATCCTCCTCGGCCTCCAAAAATGCTGACATTACAGGTGTAAGCCACCGTGCCCGGCCTTCATGTTTCTTTATATAGGTTGTTAAGAATAGTGTTGTCTCTTATAAAGGCATGTGATCAGTTTGTGACAGGTATTAGTATTGTTAGTTTCTATGTTACTGTTGATTTTAACAAGAATTTGAATGTACTATTATCTTTAAAGTAAAACTTATTTTTAAATTAACACTGCTTTTTTGTTCTTAAAGTACTGACATATTTTTATAAGTTTTGGGTCTTTATTTAGTTATTAACTTGTTCCTGCAACCATAAACATTTTATAACCAAAAGTGCTCAATCCCCTAAATAGATAATCCAACAAATTTAACTTGTGTGTGTGTGTGTGTGTATTTATGTCAGTGACAGGGTCTCACTCTGTCACCCAGGCTTGAGTGCAGTGGTGCAATCATGGCTGGCTTAGTGTGGCCTCAAACTCCTGGGCTCAAGCGATCCTCCCACCTTGGCCTCTTGGGCAGCTGGGCCCACAGGCGCATGCCACCACTCCAGCTAATTTTTATATATTTTTTGTAGACGTAGGGGTCTCACTATTTTCCCAGGCTGGTTTTGAACTCCTGATCTCAAGTGATCTTCCAGCCTTGGCCTTCCAAAGTGCTGGGATTACATATGTGAACCACTGCACCCTGCCCAAATTTAACTTTTAAAAAAAGCTATTATTTAAAATAAAGTCACTGTGGCTAAGATGCCTCTGATAGTTTTGCATTTTAAGTCTTAAGACTATGCTGAGTGTTCAGCCGGCGCAGTTGCCGCATGGGAAATTGCATAGATCCCGGCGCCTTTTTGGTGGGCGACTGGGGCACCTGGGAGAGAATCAACCGTTCAATTAGGAAAAGAAAAAAAGGGGGCTCTGAGGTGGGGAGCCAGGTGATCAGGCTCGGGTGGTCCGACCCCTACAAAAAAACAGCAATTGGAAACACTGATGGTTGAGAGTTTCACAGCAAGCACAGCTGAACCTGGAAAAGTCCAGCTCTGTAGGGGAGGGGCATCCGCCAAAGGAAAACAAAGGAACAAAAATATCACCACCAACAAGCTGGATGTCCACTCAGAGACCCAATCTGAAAGTCAGCAATTACAAAGATGACAGGTCGATAAATCCACAAAGATGGGAAGAAACCAGTGCAAAAAGCCTGAAAACATCCAAAATCAGAATGCCTCTCCTCCTTGAGAAGATTGCAGCTCCTCATCAGCAAGAGAACAAGGCCTAATGGAGAATGAATGTGATGAATTGTCAGAATCAGGGTTCAGAAGGTGAATAATAAGAAACTTCCGTGAGCTAAAAGAACATGTTCTAACCCAATGCAAAGAAACTAAGAACCTTGAAAAAAGGTTTGACGAAATGCTAACGAGAATAGACAGTTTAGAGAGGAATATAAGTGAATTAATGGAGCTGAAAAAACACAATATGAGAACTTTGCAAAGTATGCACAAGTTTTAACAGTTGAATTGATCAAGCAGAAGAAAAGATATCAGAGGTCGAAGACCAACTCAATGAAATAAAACAAGAAGACAAGATTAGAGAAAAAAGGATAAAAAGGAATGAGAAAAGTCTCCAAGAAATATGGGACTATGTGAAAAAACCTAATCTACATTTGATAGGTGTACCTGAATGTGACAAAGAGAATGAATCCAAGTTGGAAAATATTCTTCAGGATATTATTCAGGAAAACTTTCCCAACCTAGCAAGGCAGGACAATATTCAACTCCAGGTAATATAGAGAACACCACAAAGATATTCCTCAAGAAGAGCAACCCCAAGACACATAATTGTCAGATTCACCAGGGTTGAAATGAAGGAGAAAGTGCAGGGCAGCCAGAGAGAAAGATCAGGTTACCCACAAAGGGAAGCCTATCGGACTCACAGCAGCTCTCTCAGCAGAAACACTACAAGCCAGAAGAGTGTGGGGGCCAATATTCAACATCCTTAAAGAAAAGAACTTTCAACCCAGAATTTCATATCAGGCCAAACTAAGCTTCATAAGTGAAGGAAAAATAAAATCCTTTGTGAACATGCAAGTACTCAGAGATTTCATCACCACCAGGCCTGCTTTACAAGAGCTTCTGAAGGAAGCACTACACATAGAAAGGAACAACCAGTATCAGCCATTCCAAAAATATACCAAAAAGTAAAGAGCATCAACATAACAAAGAATCTACATCAACTAATGGGCAAAACAGCCAGCTAGCATCAAATGGCAGTATTAAACTCACATATATTAATCCTAAATTTAAATAGACTAAATGCCTCAATCAAAAGACACAGACAGGCAAATTGGATAAAAAGCCAAAACCCATAGGTATGCTGCATCCAGACCCACCTCACATGCAGGGATACACAAAGACCCAAAACAAAGGGGTGGAGGAAGATTTACCAACCAAATGGAGAGCAAATAAATAAATAAATAAAAAGCAGGAGTTGCAATTCTCGCCTCTGATAAAATAGACTTTAAAGCAACAAAGATCAAAAAAGGCAAAGAAGGATATTACATAATGATAAAAGGATCAATGCAACAAGAAGAGCTAACGATCCTAAATACATATGCACCTAATACAGAAGCACCCAGATGCATAAGGCAAGTTCTTAATGACTTAGAAAGAGACTTAGACTCCCACACAACAATAGTGGGAGACTTTAACATCACATTGTCAATATTAGACCAACGAGACAGAAAATTGACAAGGATATCCAGGACTTGAACTCAGACCCAGAACAAGTAAACTTAATAAACATTTATAGAATTCTGCACCCCAAATTCACAAAACATACATTTTTATCAGTACCACATCACACCTACTCTAAAAGTGACTATATACTTGGAAGTAAATCACTCCTCAGTAATTGCATAGCATTTCACAGGTTTAAATGAAATATTGGTTGGCTGCTTGTTATTTTCCTCCCTTATTCCTTCCTGTCTCCATTGTTAAGCACAATTATTGGCATAAAAGAGGTTTTCAATACCCATTTTTAGACTGCCTTCTAGCCTGGGTAATAAAGCAAGATTCCTGTTCTCTCTCCCTCTTTCTCTTCCTCTTTCTTTCTCTCTTTCATTCTTTTTTTTCTTTCTCTCTTTTTCTTTTTAAATTTCTTTTTCTTTTTTCTTTTTCCCTCCAAAAATTAATTTTAATAATTATTAGCATTAAATGTAATTAATTTCATCTGCCAAAATAAAGTAATTTAATCAGTTGGTTGATTTAATTTCAAAAAAAGACTATGTTGAGTGAATTTTTGCATAAGTTGTAAAATTTACATCCATATTCATTTCATTTCCTGTGGTTTCCAATTAATTGTCCCTTTTTTCTTTTTAGAAACACATGGGCTAGTGGGCTCTGTGTCAGTTTGCATTTCCAGAATGATGGCAGTGAACACTCTGAGCTCTGACTTTAAGTGGTGCAGTGGGATGGCCACCAGAGGGCACGCGTCCACCGCTACAGCCATGAGCACAAGGACCCTGCAGTGTTCTCAACTGCCAGCAGAGTGTGAGTGAGCCTGGTGTTTCTAATCCTGAGGCCTCAGCATCCCTCCACTTCCTTCTAGCAGGCACCCTGTGGGGGTAGGAGCTGCGTGTCTTCAGCACAGACCAGGTGGCACCCCTCACTTTGGGACACCTGGAACCCACACCCATAGTGAGTAAAATCCTTCCTCTTTGCTGCCCTGACTGCTAAGGGGAAGAAACCCTTCGTGTGGAAAATTAGAAACCCAAAAGCCCAGTGAACCCAGTGCAGATGAGGTTCTTCCTCCACACCTGAAACAAGGTGAACACAGGACCAAGCCTCAGGCTTGGAACAGAAATGTAGCCACATGAGAGCAAATAGAGCACCCACCACACTGATGATAACCCTTGTAATACCAATAATGCTCCATCTTGTGGCACTGGTGATAGCACCCATTATACAGATGTCACACCTGTCAGGAAAATGTGGCAGCTACCATGCAGATCCAACCCTGGAATACAGATGTGTCCCTCAGAGTTCACAGAACACCTGGAACACCTGAGACACCATTGCATTCAGAGAGCACACACATCACCCAAAATGCCTGTGATGCAGACTAACACAACACCCATCACACTCATATAACCCCTGGAACATGCATGTGGCTCTCAGCGCACACATCTATTACCTGGAACGCTTGTGACACCATCAGATTCAGAGTGCGCACATATCACTTAGAAGGCCCGTGACAGACTAACACAACACCTGTCACACTTGTATCACCCCCGGAACATGCATGTGTCTCTCAGAATACACATGTAACACTTGGAATTGCCCATGACACTGTCAACTAATGCAAGGCCCATCACACATAACCCCAGGAACACACGTGTTCCTCAGAGTGCACATATATCACCCGATATGCACAGGTGACACCATCATATTAAACCAATGTCTATCACATTCATATAACCCCCAGAACACACATGGGTCCCTCAGAGCACACATCACCCAGAATGACCATGACACCATCAGATTCAAAGCGTGCACATATCACCTTGGATGCACAGGTGACACTGTCAGACTAACCCAACACCCGTCACATTCATGTAACCCCCAGAACACTCATGTCTCCCTCAGAGCACACATGTAATGCCCAGAATGCCCATGACAGCATAAGATTCAGAGTGCACATATCACCTGGAATGCACAGGTGACACTGTAAGACTAACCCAACACCTGTCACACTCATATAACCCCCGGAATACATGTGTGTTCCTCAGAGCACACACATATCACCCAGATTCCATCTCAAAAAATACATATTACACCAAGTAATATATATATATGTATAATATATATTGTATGTATACACCAAGAAGCCTCAGAAACAACAGTACACATCTACAACCATGTGATATTTGACAAACCTGACAAAAACAAGCAATGGGGAAAGGATTCCCTATGTAATAAATGATGTTGGGAAAACTGGCTAGCCATATGTAGAAAGGTGAAACTGGATCCCTTCCTTACACCTTATACAAAAATTAACTCCAGATGGATTAAAGATTTAAACATAAGACCTAACACCATAAAAACCCTAGAAGAAAACCTAGGCAAAATACCATTCAGGACATAGACATGTGTAATGCTTATAGTATTAAAAGTTTTAAATTTTAATATTTCATATTTCAGTGTTAAAATATTTATGCTAAAAAAACTTGGGAATAGGTCATGTTGAGCATGAATAGAACGCCATAGAAGTGGCTTCATTTAGGTAAATAGTTGGAAAAACCTATGAATTTTTTGACAAAATCTTTACTGAGGGGGACAATCCAAGATGGCCGTTTAGGAATAGCTCAGGATTGCAGCTCCCAGTGAAAGCGCAGAGGGTGAGTGGATGCTGCATTTTTATTGCCCACAGACTAGGCAATTCCCAGGTGGAGGAGCTCCACGGGTCGCCAGGGCGGCTGTTTCTGCCAGCGCAGCTGTGCCGGCCAGCGCAGCTGCTTTGCCCTGTGCG